TTCCTCTTTTGTTCTACAGAGCGAGCTGCTGACCAACTAGAAGCAACTCTGGACTGTATGTGCCTCTATTGCAAAGATTACACACACTGCAGGATAGATGTGTTCATGTCTCAACCTATCATTTATGTGGTCTGGGACCCCCCTGGATTTCCAAGTTGTCCGGTAGGACAACTCCCGGGGCGGTCAGCCCAGGACAACTCGTCCGACCCCTTAAAAAAATAGGGGGGGGCGGGGGCGGTAGGAGGAAATGTGAGGGCCTGGGGGGGTAGTGCGCCCAGCGGGGATGCTGACCGTCGGGCGCGATATTCTTTTCCAGGCCGCCAGGGCCTCGAAAACCCGAAAAAAAAAAGGCTCGATCTGGACCGTCAGATCATGAAGATCGATGTCCCATATTGGGCCGTTCAAATTCGAAACGGGGGTTGTCGCGGGGCGCCTCGCACCAGAAGTGGGCGGGGACGTTCTCGACGATGTTGCCCCTTGACGAGCCTCGCTCATCGAGCCCTGCGATTGTCGCCATCGCCCTGTTCCCTTGTCGTCTTCCTCCTCCTCCTCCTCCTCGTCTTCTTCTTCTTCTTCTTCTTCTTTTTCTTCTTCTTCTTCTTCTTCTTCTTCTTCTTCTTCTCCTCCTGTGTGTGTGTGTGTGTGTGTGTGTGCATGTGTGGGTGGCCTGGAACAGCTTCCGTGCAGCATCTGCTGCATGTGCAGCACAGGCAATCCACCACCTGCTGCTTTTGCAGCAGTGGTATAGGACCTCCAAGCAACAATTCAGTAAGTAAAACCCCCCTCCCCCCCACCCTCGCACCCAAGTTTCTTTTTTTCTTTTTTTTTTAATGCTCAGAATGACCTGAATTTTATTTTTTTTGTGGGGTTCTCTCATATAGCGCAGTGACATCCTTTTTTTCCCCTTTGATTATTTAATTGAAAAATGTAGTTGTCCGGGATCCTGGACAACTCCGGTCCCGGACATCCGACGGAGTGGTCCGCCAGAGCTGTCTGCTGATCAGACAGCTGGTAACCTAGCTATAGTATATTAGTATATTTCCATCATCAACCCGCAATTTGTGGCCTTGCTACTGCCCCACTGATAAAACCATTGGGTATGAGACCTAAAAACTTCAAATCTTCTTCCTAATGTACCCAATGCAGTAGTATGATGATTTTGTGCCAAATGTAAAGCACAGAGGTGGGCCAATATGGGAAGGAAGGGAAGGGGGAGAAAAAAGGAGCAGAAAACAGAGATTGGATCTCGTAGCAGAAGATTCAGTGCTGATAGCCTCAAGCCAGTAGTTTGAAGCCTTGAACTCAGAAGTGGATTCTTTAAGGTGTGGACTTTGCCAATAAGCTGACTTGTGTTCCACTACTTGCCAAAATGGGGAACATATCTTGCTGTAGAATGTGGGAAGATGCATTCACAACTTTCACATTTGGCAAGTGGTGGAACAAGTTTCCTTAGGCATTGGCAAATGGCACTTCAAGGTCTGATTTCGACATCCTGACATCTGAAAATTTCTTATTGATCTGTTTGCTCAGTGGATTTGCAGCAATGACCCAATGCAGTGCTGCCAAGTAATGCTACTCAAATCGTCAGTGTGCTCTCCAAAGTCTCAAATAGATACTTGCGGTGCTCCAAAAAATGCTGTGGCAGTGTGGCACACTGAAGAATTAGTAAAAACATTAGTCAATAAGAGATTGGAACTGTCAAAAAAATTCAAAAAAATAGTAAAAGGGAAAAAAACATGCTTTTGACTTCTGTACATTCCACAACTAAGATGTTGGGCGATCCTCTCTGCCTAAAGTTGCTTGGGCCTTGAAGTATTCTTTTATGCCAAATAATCGTGGCTGAACATCCCACCAAAGCCAATTCCGCCCCCCCTCGCCCCAGAAATGCTAGACAATTTTTTTCTGGAATTTCACGGTTCACGAATCACGAGTACCACATGTGGCATACCAGAGCAGTGTGGGCTGTGCGCTGCACATGCGCACTTTGTGCACACGTGCTGCTCCACAAGTGTCCTTAAAACTTCCCTGAATTGCAGCATTTACATAATGCCTCAAGTCTGCTTTGAAAACTGCCTTGCACATGCCTTGAAAGAACTATGTCCATCAATCACATCTATGTCGGCACTAACGGACTCGCAAAGTGGATGTACTGTGAAGAGAGGTTCAAATCCCTTTAGGGATGTACATGCATGTTATCAAAGGGCAACTCCGGAGTAGCTACTGCAGTGGTTTGCACTTGCTACAGAACACTGGCAGTGCTGCTAGTGCAGTGGTGGTGGTCGATGGGCGATGCGCTTTCGTGGAAGACCAGAGAGTGACTGCTGTCCCTGTCTATAATGACATTAAAATCTGTTATCGATTGGCCTGCCCCCACTTGTGCATTGTTATTGAGATCTTCTTCTCAGGAAGCTGCAAGCCTAAATGATTCAGTTGCCACAGAGCCTCTGTTGTGTAACAGACGCATGCGATGCTGGTCAGCCGAGTGTTCACTGGGGAGTAGTCTCTCATTAGAGGCTTCAAGTGGGGCAATGATGCCCCACTGGGCCCATGGTGGGATTTCTGTGAAGGGAGGAAGACCTGTGCCACTCGTTTTCGTTTTTGCTTCCAAAGGTTCCTGTGAGTGGGCCCGTGGTGGGCTTCCCATGAAATTGGATTTCGCGAGCATAACGGGATCCGAACGAAAAGTTTGTGCTTGCCTGTTGGGCATTTCCAATGGACTTTGGGCCCCTCATGCAATGAGATCTCTGAGGCACGGGCACATTCCACTTGTGTTGTTGCATTCATCTAATTCCATCGGTATTTGAACACATGATCTGCTTGCCAACGGTTGCACGTGTATAGCATTCAGCTACATGGGCTGGGTGGTCACGAGTTGGAGAGAAGCTCTCCTTTTGTCGTATGGCCTTGGGCATCAGATAGCTGTTGCCCAGCGGAAGGAATGCCACTAAGCACTTGTCATCTAGCTGAAGGAATGCCACTAAGCACTTGTTGTCTCTCTTTCAAAGTTTTTCTGTTCATCTCCCTTTGCCACGGAGCATTACCAACACATTCATTCTAATCCAGATCCACTTGTCTTACTAGCTAAGTTGGGGTCACACCTGTTACCTCCTTGCTTTACACATGGTTGTTCTTGATTCGAAGGAGATTCTCTGCCCTTAATGGCAGAGCGAATCACACTCCCAAATAGAGTTCAAACTTCAAACAGCCCAATGCCCACATCAGAACCTGTCTCTTATACACATCTAGATGTGTAGGTCACACCTGTTACCTCCTTGCTTTACACATGGTTGTTCTTGATTCGAAGGAGATTCTCTGCCCTTAATGGCAGAGCGAATCACACTCCCAAATAGAGTTCAAACTTCAAACAGCCCAATGCCCACATCAGAACGTGCGCAGGCGTTCAGTGACATTGATCAAATCCAAAAAGCCCAGGTGTTCAGTGACATCGATCAAATCCCAAAAGCGCAGGCTGCAAGGTGACGTGGTTGTCTTGCTGCGTGGCATGCATTGCCTCGCATCTTGACCAGTTCACACTCCACCTATCTGACAAGAAAGAGCCTATATGGGTTCCGACCAGCCTCAAAAGGAACAGACTATTGCCATTCAAGTCGATTCAACCAATCTTAAAAGATAGAACCTATTGGAATTCAGCCTATCTCAAAAGAAAGAACCCATTTGGAATTCAACCTATGTCAAGTGAAAGGACCTATGGATACGAAAGATAGTGGAGCAATTTGGAATAGCCAGGAACTATTGGTGTTCAACCAATCTTAAACCACCAGTACATCCAGCTAGAGGCCGCCCGCCGCCGATTCGATTTATCCACGGCGCTGGGCCTCCAAAAAATCCGTAGGCCACGAGTTTTCTTTTCAGCAAGGCTGGGGCTGTGTACTGGCGGCTTAAACCACCAGTATCCCCGGGGCTGTTTCGCCGAACCGACGGGCATGGGGTGCGGCGAAAAATTTGCGGTAGCACCAGCACAACGTTTTTCTTTTTGTTTTGGCTGGCGGTGGCAGCCCCAAGCCCCAAAAAGGCCCAAACTTTTCGCTGGTGGGGATGAGTTCATTTTCTGCAAGCGTGGGGCCATGTACCGGTGGTTCAAAAGAAAGAACCTATTGGGATTCATTCAACCTGACTGAAAAGAAAGAACCTATTTATAGCATTTGACCTATCTTGAAAGAAACAACCTATTTTATATGAAAGATAGTGAACTAGAGTACCAGCCGGGCCGCCCGGGTCACCTTGTTTTCCCGGGTGGCCCGGCTGTGCAAGGGCAAAAGAAAGTCCCAGCCCAAAAAACAATATGCTGTGTAGAAATACTAGAAAAATAAACTGAACAACTTTTGCCTCAGTGTCACATCGAAATTCTTTACCAAATTTACAATAAAAATTTAAAAATAACTTTAAATAAGAAAAAAAATTAAAATTTTAATAAAAAATATATTTTAAAATTTTCATTTTCTTGGGCCCGGCCGGGTAAGTAGTCCCGGGTCACTCTGGTAGCCTAGACAGTGAAGCAATTTGGAATAACCAGAACTGTGACTGACTACACATTGTTACACAGAACGCACACAATGTCCCGAACACATCCTCTACCATCTTTTTTTTTTTTTTTTTTTTTTTTTTCAAAGAGGACTTCTTCGCACTCTGCTGCAGTGCAATACAGAGACAACACTGGAGGGGTCGAGTAGGCTAAGATCAAGTGTAGTTTCTGTTCTGATCAGTTTAATATCTGATCCGTGGTCCATCGGACCACACGATATTAAATAAATTTTATTCCTCTACCATCTTAACCCTCAACCTTCAGTCGATCTCATATGAAGGCGACAATCATATGAAGTTGAGATCAACAAAAAATTGAATGAACTAATGGAAAAAGCTTATTGCGGAGCTGAGGACTGTCTCGCATCCACAGACCCAGCATCATAGTAACCCTAGCCTCATTCACATCAATTTTCATACCCATCGTCTGGTTTGATTGGTCTGGGTGTTTTATGCAGAGAGGAAGAAAGGGAGGAGTAGTGAAGCCTGTGTCACCAGAGGAGGCCCAACGGTTGCAAAAAGCTGCTGAAGTTGCTTCCAAGCATATACAGGTACGTGTGGGAGAGCATTTGATAACCATGGCTGATGTCCCTTTTGTTATGAAGACCAGCACCTGGGCTCACCAACCACATGCATTTCAAATGTGCAAATGGCCCTGTTGTAGTTCCAATTGCGGCCAAGATGGAGCAAGTGCATGCTGGCACGTCTTTGCAGGGCTGTTGCAGACAAAATTGGTTGTCATTAAATGTTTGAGTGGGAGCAGGAAGGAGGGAGGGAGCGGAGAGCGGGGAGGGGAAAGGGGAAG